TGATTTGAAATCATCTTAAATGTCAAATCAACATCCATCCATTTAATACGAGCGAGTACTCGCGCAATAACTTAATAGCTTAGAAACCTGTTCTCTACAGCTTTTGAGCGGCACTCGCCACTAAGTTTAGTTTTTTTTTTTTTTTTTTATCTACACCTCTTCCGTCGGTCGCTACCTTTACTATATATATATATGTATTTGCTTACTCGCCTTACTGCCTGCCGGTGTCGCTCATTCCACGTGGAAATGGTTCCTCGTTTGGTTGGTTGTTTAGCGTTCGCCGATCGTTGTTCAATGTTCCAACTAAGTAGACGTACATATGTATGTACATACACCAATGACGTGACACACTTGTTGCAGGCTTTAGCCGGGAGTCCAATTGTTCATTTTACACGAAAACAGTTTTGCTTATTTTAGTAAGCATGTATCTATGATGTAGTATATACATATGTACATTAGGGTGTACCTATCGCTCTCCAAAAAAAAAAAAATCGGTATTGTTTTCCATCTATACATCTGATGAAGTGTATTATATTTTAAGACTTGTGCCAAAATATTTCGGCAAAATATTAAGATTTAAGTTAACTGAACTTATTTAGAAATACCTGCACAAATGGATTTTTTTTTATAAACACAGCAATGTAGTTTTTAAAAATAGTTCTTCGTAAACATATTTTAAATTTTTATTAGCGGAATTAAATGAATGAGATTTTTGTAGGTATTTTCAAAAGGGTTTAGCTCACGCAAATCCTAATATTTTGCCGAAATATTTTGGCGGTAGTCTTTTTTTTGGCGATTCACCCTAATGTACATACATATTTTCATACTATACATATGCTTGTAAGCTGTTAGATATACATACTAAAATAAAAATCACTTTACATGGCTGAAACACTTGTTCGTGCTTCTAAGAATCACGTATTCACGCCAATTTTTAGCCTGAAGGAAAATTACTTGTAATTAGCGGTTTCTAGTTATTTGCGATTTCTTATTACTTATGTGCTTCCTTTAAGTTATTTTCCTGTATTCCACCGCTTTGAGTTCTTTGAACATAGGCGTACGTGTTCTGAGGGGATTACCAATGGCAATGCTATTTAAAATCTCTGTAAATCTGGAAAATCACAACTTATTGCAAGTAACAAAAGTCTATTTTGTCAAGCTTTCGCCACTTAGCTTAAAAACAATCGCTTACAACTATGACAACAACACAAAAAATCCTCATCTTCCTCTTCGCTCGCACTATGATAACTTTCATACAAATTCATTTGTTTACGACTGTCTTTGTCTTTAGCTTCGCATAGCTTTCACTCTATTTTTAACCTAAGTTGACTCGATCAAGCCCATTAAAGCCTACTTCTCAATAGGATATAATTCTTGGTAACCCTACAGATCGAAATATCCTAGCTCTTCGTGGATTGGGGACTTTCGAAAGAACAAGTCTCCGAAAGATCTATGGCCCTGTTCGCGTCGGGGCCGGGTACTGAAAAAACGGCAATGACGAGCGGCAGGACATGGTTAAACGCTAAAAAAATACAACGTATGACAATCTGATGAAAAGGTGCTTCTACTCCGCATCGGCAGGTAGACAACGATAAGCAAGGCCACCCACGAACACTATAGAAGTACATTTGGGATGAACAATGGGCGATTTTTATTATTTATTTTTTTTTTTAAGTTTTTTAAAAATTAAATGAAATTTAAAAAATGTTTATTTTAGCTTTAAAGCTATAAAAACACAAAATTAAACTAAAAAAAAAATTAATTAAAGAAATTCCTAAAATGAAAAGAAATTAAAAGATAGAAAGTTGCTTTTTAAAATAATGTAAACAATTAAATATAAAAATAAAAATAAAATGAAAAAAATAAAATAAAATGAAATAAGTTCCCAAAAATGAAAGGAAATTTAAAAAAAAATATATATTTCTTTTTAAAACAATAAAAACTAAAAATTAAAAGAAATGAAAATTTAAAAAAATAATAAACAAATTTAATGGAAAATAGAAAAAATATAATATTCAGAAGAGAAAAAATATAATATAAAATTGGATGAAATTTAAGAGAAATATTTTTCTTACAACAATAGAATATAAAAATTTAATTAAATTATTTTATTTTGAAAATAATATAATCTAGAAATTAAAGGAAAATTTAAATTAGAAAAAAATAAATAACTAAAAAAAATCCGCTGCCCCAGATCTCGACCCCGGATTTCTTGAGTAGCGCGCCAGTGCTTTGCTCACTCGGCCATTATGATCTTTCTATCGNAAAAAAAATCCGCTACCCCAGATCTCGACCCCGGATTTCTTGAGTAGCGCGCCAGTGCTTTGCTCACTCGGCCATTATGATCTTTCTATCGTGGAGCTCAGTGACTGTGCGCTCTAAACTAGTCTGAAGAAGACCTGATTTCCCAATCAGTCAGCGCTTTCCGATCAGACTGAAATACATATGTAGGTAGGGAACCATATGTAGGAGGACATTGAAAGTAAATACATACATGACAGCGATAGTTTCATCGTCTGTCTGTATGTTGCTTTTCGAGAGATTAGATCGGGTCATCTCAATAAGATTAACAATAAGTCAATTGTAATTGAAAGCTGATTATGAACAAACGTGGAACAGTGACGTTCCAGAGACCATTTTGGACGGACCTACATTTATCGTTAAACCCAATGAGTTGGAAAATAAAATAAAATCTAAGTACAGATCTTTTAGAGAGTGTGTAGAGCAATATTTTTAAGATTATTTACAAAATCCATAATACTGCAGAACTTTCCAATAACTGACTCATATAAAATGACTCATAAAAGTATCAATAACATTCACAAAAGCTTCACCAACCGCTTAGCTAATTGCCAAAGGAACGTTATGATCACACTCAACGTTCACGGTTTAAAGCAGTTATTTATAAATACATACATGTTATTAAAAACAAAAGACATGATACTAAAAGAATTTCTAAGCTGTGCTGAATGCTACAAAAAAAAAAAAAAAACAGAAACAGACAATGCAAATGTATGTATAATGAAAAGAGCAGTTATATTAAACACATTTACAAAAAAGGTGTTTTTAAGAATCTATCATTTGAATGCCAACACTTAAACGGTACACAGTTCACAAATACTGTGAGATAATTATGAAAAATATGATGAAGACATACATATGAAATGATCATTACTCGATACAAAACTGCTTTCAGTCTTGGTTTTAAGTAATCAATGTTTATGTGTGAAACTAAATATTTTTAGTTGGCTGCGAAGTGTGGTGAAAACATGTTGTTAGTTGTGGGTGTGATTTGTGTGTGCATAACCACTGTCAGTCAAGGTATTTAGAACGTGGGAACTTATTGTTGGTGTTGTTATAGTCACTTATAGTGGTTTGGGTATTCATATCTGGATTATTATACATCTTTATGCACATACTTAAGTGTATTTTAGAAATATATATATATATATTTTTTTTTTGCTTATTTATCAATCTGAATGTGGGCCGCAAATTTTAATTGCAAACCCACCTGTTAGCTGTTCTTTGATTTTATATTATTTGCGTACTTTCTATGCTTTTATTTTTTGCTTGTGTTTGCCATTGCATTTGTTCGCCTTATCAGCCCGTAGGTTTTGTTTTTTTAATATTATTTTTAAAACACTACTCGCTTCGCAATTAATTATCTCTTAATATGCCTTTAAAAAAACATGTGTGCCTGTGTTTTGTTTTGTTGTTGTTGTTGTTGAAAGTATTTTTTTGCTACGCTCTTTCGCGAATTTCTCGTGCTCAGTCGTTCACTGATCGCTTGCGTATGTATTTACTCTTTTCGCCACGCTTTCACGCACAATCTCACGCTTGCTCAATTGCTCGCTGCAACTTTCGTGCTGCTCATTTTACTTTGGCTTTTTTTACATTAACTTTCACAGCTGTTTTTTGATTTGAAATTTTTGTATATTCGCTGAATGTCCCATGTGTATTATGAGTTTGCTTCGCTCAAATTTTCCCATCAGTTAGCTGCTCACTACTTTCAATGATTTTGCAATCGGAGCTACATCCCATTTCCTTACCGCTATTTCTAGAGCCTATTTATCGCTTCGTTTAGCTTTCAACTTCACTTTCCACAAATTTCCTTCCGTGGTTCTTATCCGCCTTTCCTCCACCCTGTTGGCTCAGAAGGCATTCCCCCTCTTTCTCTTATTTTATTAACCGTTTTATCGCCCCATCCTTCAAGTTTCAACTTCACTTTCTATCACCCTTTTAGCGTCACACCAAACCCCCTCTGCTATTTTGCAGGGATCGATTTGCTATGAATGATTCACGATATTTATATTAGTGTGCCTCACAAAAAAAAATAAAAATCGGTTATTCCACCGGAGTTATACGTAAAGTTTATAAGACTTCCACCAAAATATTTCGGAAAAGTATTGACATTTAAGCGAGCCAGACCGATTTGAAATGTATCTTCAAAAATCTCAATAATTTGATTCGATTTGATAAAATTTTTAAATATTTTTAAGCTGTCCTTTTAAGCTTCAACTCTTCTATAATCTTTGGTGATGTTTAATAAAAACTAATATTATTTATAACAAAAATAAATTGATTTTTGGAGGTATTTTCTCAAATTTTTTTGTAGGGAGAGTGATACGCTCTAATGTACATGTTTTTTTTTTTTGCGGAAATCACTTTCATTTCATCTTAATTTTTTTGTTGTACTCGTATTGTGTGTTGCTGCCGTAATCGTGTTAGGCTTTTGCGTCGTTTCGCTCTGGCTGCCTTGTCGCAGTATTTACGTTTTAGGGGCTCTCCCACATGTGCTCGCTTTTCAGTTCGATTTCGTCCACTCAGTCAGCGCATTTGACCACCACCTACAAATTTTACAAGCTGTTTTTTTTCCCCCTTTCACCGCCTACTCAATTCAATGCGGCTATGGTCCATGAAAAATAATTTGTTTCCTTTTAATAAAAAATACCTTTTGAAAAGTGTAAAAAATTTACAGTTTCCTTTTCTTCTCATTACAGGAATATTTGAAAAACATGTACAACGTTTGAAAGGAAAAAAAGGAAAACGGACTATTAATCGACTTGCAATCGAAGAAGACACACAAAAGTGACGCATCATAAAATTTCGGCAGCTGCTGAAAGGCTCAAGAATTTCTTGTATCCTTATAACTTAAAAGGAACGGCAAGGATCTATCAAACCCAATTGCGACCGTGCAGTACACCACGCATTGGCTAATCAACGTTTCTGCTGGCTACATAGCCATAGTCTGGCGCAATTACTCACACATTTTTCAAACATAATTTTTGACTCCTCAGCGTTGTTGGTGGGTTGTGAGTAAATCACAGCCAATCATCATATATAAAAAGGCTTACAAATGAAGATGGCATCCCAAAGATTTTGCCTTCGATGGAATAACCATCAAAGCAATTTACTATCTGTATTCGATCAGCTATTGCACGCTGAAACGTTTACGGATGTCACGCTGGCCGTGGATGGACAATATTTAAAAGCACACAAGGTAAGTGTTACTATGCTTTTTTTGTTAAGAAATTTACATATGTCAATTAATTTTTGGTTTTCTCATCACCCCCTCCCCCCCCTCCCCCCCTAGATGGTTCTCTCCGCCTGCAGTCCTTACTTCAATGCGCTATTTGTCAATCATCCCGAAAAACATCCCATTGTCATATTAAAGGATGTACCTTATTCCGATATGAAATCCCTGCTTGACTTTATGTATCGCGGCGAGGTGTCTGTCGATCAGGAACGTCTTACCGCCTTCTTGCGTGTCGCCGAATCGTTACGCATCAAAGGTTTGACCGAAGTGAATGACGATAAACCATCACCGGTCGAACCGACGCCACCGCCACCACAGCTACAACGCATTCAACCATATTTGGTGCAACAACAACAGCAGCAACATCAACGCAGCAAATCACAGAATAGCCTATTGGCTGGCGGTTCAAGCGCTGGCGCTGGTGGTTTGGCTAGTGCCGCTGCATTGGCTGCTGGTGGTGGTCAACAACAACAATCGCTGCTTAGCTCAGCGCTGGCCTCGATGCCGAAACGAAAACGTGGCAGGCCACGGAAATTGTCGGGCAGCTCGAATGGCACCGGCAATGATTATGATGAATTCGAACGCGATGGCATGATGAATGTGAGTGAAGGTTGAAGGTTGTATGGAGGAAATTTGAATAATTTCTAACCTGTTTTTTTTTTTTTTGTTTATTTTTTCCTTGCAGGACTCCGAGATGGGCGATTGCAAAATGGGCGATTCATATTCGGGCAATGATGATGGCTCGGATGATAATCAACGCGATTGTGGCAATATGCGCGACCCTAGTGTAAGTAGACGTTACTTTTATATTAAAAAAAACTATTTTCTACATACTAAATTTTAAACTGGTTAGACAGCAGTTGACTAATTTTTCAACGGTTAATGGGAGGGTTAAAGGTTAATCGGTATTAAAAAAAAAGTTGAGCAGGAAATTATGACAGTAGTATTTTTAAAAAAATATTTAAAATGTTTAGCTATTTAAATATGCACATACATATAAAACTTGTAGCTAAATTTTGAAGAAGAATTACGCAAATAAAAGCCTCAAAAAGTAATAAATTNGCAGCAACATCAACGCAGCAAATCACAGAATAGCCTATTGGCTGGCGGTTCAAGCGCTGGCGCTGGTGGTTTGGCTAGTGCCGCTGCATTGGCTGCTGGTGGTGGTCAACAACAACAATCGCTGCTTAGCTCAGCGCTGGCCTCGATGCCGAAACGAAAACGTGGCAGGCCACGGAAATTGTCGGGCAGCTCGAATGGCACCGGCAATGATTATGATGAATTCGAACGCGATGGCATGATGAATGTGAGTGAAGGTTGAAGGTTGTATGGAGGAAATTTGAATAATTTCTAACCTCTTTTGTTTTTTTTTTTGTTTATTTTTTCCTTGCAGGACTCCGAGATGGGCGATTGCAAAATGGGCGATTCATATTCGGGCAATGATGATGGCTCGGATGATAATCAACGCGATTGTGGCAATATGCGCGACCCTAGTGTAAGTAGACGTTACTTTTATATTAAAAAAAACTATTTTCTACATACTAAATTTTAAACTGGTTAGACAGCAGTTGACTAATTTTTCAACGGTTAATGGGAGGGATTAAAGGTTAATCGGTATTAAAAAAAAAGTTGAGCAGGAAATTATGACAGTAGTATTTTTAAAAAAAGATTTAAAATGTTTAGCTATTTAAATATGTACATATAAAACTTGTAGCTAAATTTTGAAGAAGAATTACGCAAATAAAAGCCTCAAAAAGTAATAAATANTGATTATGATGAATTCGAACGCGATGGCATGATGAATGTGAGTGAAGGTTGAAGGTTGTATGGAGGAAATTTGAATAATTTCTAACCTCTTTTGTTTTTTTTTTTGTTTATTTTTTCCTTGCAGGACTCCGAGATGGGCGATTGCAAAATGGGCGATTCATATTCGGGCAATGATGATGGCTCGGATGATAATCAACGCGATTGTGGCAATATGCGCGACCCTAGTGTAAGTAGACGTTACTTTTATATTAAAAAAAACTATTTTCTACATACTAAATTTTAAACTGGTTAGACAGCAGTTGACTAATTTTTCAACGGTTAATGGGAGGGATTAAAGGTTAATCGGTATTAAAAAAAAAGTTGAGCAGGAAATTATGACAGTAGTATTTTTAAAAAAAGATTTAAAATGTTTAGCTATTTAAATATGTACATATAAAACTTGTAGCTAAATTTTGAAGAAGAATTACGCAAATAAAAGCCTCAAAAAGTAATAAATAGACGAAATATTACACTAAAATAAGTTATCACGTATTTTTATTTTTAAGTGCAACTTGAGCACAACAATTATTTGACATCAAAATGCATAGAGAACAACTTCAGTTAAAAATAGAGCATCGAATATCTGCCTACCATGGAAGAAAAAAATTTAATGCACTTTTAATTTCCCATTTGACGAGCTGTACAGTATTGAAGGGGTTACTAGAATAATAAAAATTACACTTTCGTGAAAAAATTTCGTTAAAAAAAAATTCACCTTATTTAATTTTGACTTATGCCACTTTTTCAAAGATAATTATCTTTATAATTGCTAATTTATTTTGTACTTTTCCATAACTTATTTTGTGATTTTTCGTACAGNGTGAAAAAATTTCGTTAAAAAAAAATTCACCTTATTTAATTTTGACTTATGCCACTTTTTCAAAGATAATTATCTTTATAATTGCTAATATATTTTGTACTTTTCCATAACTTATTTTGTGATTTTTCGTACAGTTTTCTTTTATTTAAGTTTTGTACTATTTTTTTATTTTTATTTTTGTTTTCCTACAGGAGAGTCGAGATTCTATTTCCCAAAGCAAGAAATTCAAATCAAAAGACAATAAATCCAAACAACACGACAATGACAACAGCACATCTGGTGAGTTTTTAATTCCATTTATTTCTACATAAAATGCATAAGGAAACTTACATATGTAAATACAGTGAAAATTCGATAACTGGAAAGGAGCGACTAAAAATAAAAAATAAATCGTAGAAAAGTAATGGTAATGATCTGTGCATTTAATAAAAGGCATTTAACCAAAAAAAGTTGCAAGACTTCTAAAAAATAATTCATTATTTTAGCTTTTTTGAGTTGTATAATGAATTTAAAATAATTATTTTATTCAGGCTTGTTACACTACCAAATTGCAGAGGCTCGAACTATCGAGTTTTCACTGTATGCAAATTTTTCATTTTTTTTTACAATTACACGATAGGTAACAAAAATTGCTGAGTTTTCAAATGTTTTTCGTTTTCGTTTCGAAAACATTTTTTTTTTTTACGAACGTCATATCTTCGCAATTTACAATCGGATCTTAAAGTATTTGTCTCGAGGAGACATTTTTTTTATTTCAAAGTTCATTGACTTCAAGTACTCCGTTCTAGTACTTACCTACCAGATCTCAATTCTTATCACCCTAAGCTCTCCAAAAATCATGAAACTTTTGCCAACAAATATTTTTTTGATTCTAGTAGAACTATTAAAAAGCAAAAAAAAAATATATTGCTGGCGAATGTACATGGGTGTCACCAAAAAATATAAAAGCTGACCTATAGGTCCGGCCAAAACAAAAAAGAGGTGTACGGCGAACTTTTTTGTTTGCTGTAAGGTAGTACGGTCTAATGTCAAATATTATACTACACTGTGCAGCAGAACTACAANTCAAAGTTCATTGACTTCAAGTACTCCGTTCTAGTACTTACCTACCAGATCTCAATTCTTATCACCCTAAGCTCTCCAAAAATCATGAAACTTTTGCCAAAAAATATTTTTTTGATTCTAGTAGAACTATTAAAAAGCAAAAAAAAAAAATATATTGCTGGCGAATGTACATGGGTGTCACCAAAAAATATAAAAGCTGACCTATAGGTCCGGCCAAAACAAAAAAGAGGTGTACGGCGAACTTTTTTGTTTGCTGTAAGGTAGTACGGTCTAATGTCAAATATTATACTACACTGTGCAGCAGAACTACAACCGCTTTTGCTTTTTTCCTTTTACGGCCGTCAAAAAATTAAAAAAAAAACACAAAGATGGCAGATAAATGCACTCCTGGTGCTGTAAAAGCGGGAATAGTTACGCTCGAAAGGTATATGTATGTATGTAAATTTACAAATATATTTTCAATTTTGCACGAAAAAATGTTTTTTCTACAATTTGTTGAAAATAATGAATAAAATCTCTCAATTTTCCANTAAAAGCGGGAATAGTTACGCTCGAAAGGTATATGTATGTATGTAAATTTTACAAATATATTTTCAATTTTGCACGAAAAAATGTTTTTTCTACAATTTGTTGAAAATAATGAATAAAATCTCTCAATTTTCCATAGCNATTAAAAAAAAAACACAAAGATGGCAGATAAATGCACTCCTGGTGCTGTAAAAGCGGGAATAGTTACGCTCGAAAGGTATATGTATGTATGTAAATTTACAAATATATTTTCAATTTTGCACGAAAAAATGTTTTTTCTACAATTTGTTGAAAATAATGAATAAAATCTCTCAATTTTCCATGTTTCATAAATATAGTCGAAAACGATTAATTGCAACATCATACTTCCGATATTTCAAAAAACTTCTAGTGAATAATGCCGAATTTCCACTAGGCATTTAAATGACAAAAAAAAACAAACAAACAAACTTAAAGCTTTCGTATTAATCAAGCAGACTTGTCAATTAACCGATTTCGACTGTTTTTTGAAAAATAATTCCACAATTTTAGTGAACTGGATAGTATTTTTGATGCTTTTTGATAATAAAACTTTTATAATTTTTTCTCGTCGACTTCTTTCAATCCTGTAACCTTACATATGTATGTATACATTTCGGCACATTTTTCATTATATTTTAATTTTCACAATAATTTCATCTGCATAATACACAGCAATCGAATATCAGCAAAGCAATTGCCATTAATTTTAAGAAATCCATCAATATTATTTATAAAAAAAACAATCNTTGCTTTTTTCCTTTTACGGCCGTCAAAAAATTAAAAAAAAAACACAAAGATGGCAGATAAATGCACTCCTGGTGCTGTAAAAGCGGGAATAGTTACGCTCGAAAGGTATATGTATGTATGTAAATTTACAAATATATTTTCAATTTTGCACGAAAAAATGTTTTTTCTACAATTTGTTGAAAATAATGAATAAAATCTCTCAATTTTCCATGTTTCATAAATATAGTCGAAAACGATTAATTGCAACATCATACTTCCGATATTTCAAAAAACTTCTAGTGAATAATGCCGAATTTCCACTAGGCATTTAAATGACAAAAAAAAAACTACCTCCGAAAAAAAACAAACAAACAAACTTAAAGCTTTCGTATTAATCAAGCAGACTTGTCAATTAACCGATTTCGACTGTTTTTTGAAAAATAATTCCACAATTTTAGTGAACTGGATAGTATTTTTGATGCTTTTTGATAATAAAACTTTTATAATTTTTTCTCGTCGACTTCTTTCAATCCTGTAACCTTACATATGTATGTATACATTTCGGCACATTTTTCATTATATTTTAATTTTCACAATAATTTCATCTGCATAATACACAGCAATCGAATATCAGCAAAGCAATTGCCATTAATTTTAAGAAATCCATCAATATTATTTATAAAAAAAAACATTAATTTATTCCAAAAATTTATACCAGCGATTATCATTTGTATTGAAAATCAAACAAATTTCGTGGAAAATATTTCGAAACATAATTAAGTGTTCAATATTAAACACGTCTGAAAATCGCATCGGAAAAGCTCAAAGGGATTAACGAAACAAATTTCGAAACTAAACATGCCCTAACATAGAAAAGATATGTTGGGCAACAAAAAAAACATAGGTCACTAGTGCGAAAGAAAGACTAAACAAACAAGATAAAGTGAAATAAATTTAAAAAAAATATAAAATGTTACAACATGCGCGTATTTATCCGTAATCTTTTTGCGCGTAGTGTTTACACTGTAAGAAAAAAGTTCAAAGGCCGCGACTCATTTCGTCGGCAGGTGAGTTTCAAAGTTTGACAAATCAAAGAAAAGCGCATGAAAGTATGATGCAAGAAATGCAAATAAAGCGAAAAGGAAACGACGAGATTTAATTGAAGAAAAAGGGAGTGAGTAAATTCAATCGGGCTAAGCTTAGGGATTCATGGCCGACGTAATGAAAAATAAAAATGAATATGCGAATAAAAATTCCTACAAAAAAAATTTAAACAACAAACGAATGTCGAATTTCCACTGGACATGAAATGACAAAAATTTGAATGACAAAGTTCGGTATTTAAAAATACGAATGCCTTTGCATAAAAACAGTTACTATAATTGAATTCTTTTTCATAAGGCATTTTTAAATCGCAAAGCTTGTCATTTCAATGCCTAGTGGAAATTCGGCATGAGCATTTTTACTAATCAAAAATATTAAAAATTTAAAACACCAACGCGTAAATATAAAAACTCCATCTTGTTAAAACAAAACAGCCAGCGTTTAATTTTTCCCTTTTGTTTTATGTTTTTGTTTAGACCGTTATTTCTTTAATGTAACAGTCATGTTTCGCTGCATTCGTACAACTTGCTGCACCTGTTGCAGGTGCTTGGACACATGCAAACTGGCTTTTCTATATACATCATAGTACACATTTATCAACTGCAAATGGCTTGAAATCCCTACAGCTTTTCCGATACGTTTTTTTTATTATTTCTGAATGGAACGCGTGCGTGTGAATAATTATTAATGTGTTGCTAAATTTTTTCACAGCAAAATGAAATTCCTTTCCGTATTTGTTTGCTTTTTCGTTGCATTATACATTCATACAAAAATCAAGTGAAGAAAACACATACACACATGCATATGTACATATAAACGTAATCATAAGAAAAGAAATGAAAACTAAAAAAAAATGACTCATTAAATTTAAAAAAATTATTAAAGATTGCTTATAACAATACGTAGTTTAGTTAACTGTTCCTATAGCTGAATTTTCACTAAGCAATAAATGGTAAGCAATTAATTGACAAAATTTGTGTAAATTCAATATCTAGTGGAAATTGAGCATTATGCCCATAATAATGCTGGATATCCAATCGGCTTTAATTGACACAGTTAAGCACTAAAAAAATATCGTATCATTGCGTTAATATAAATAGTTATTGAATTCGTTTCCACCAGCATTATTTAAAATATATAACTTTTTTTTTCTTTTCAATGCCCAGTGCAAATTCGGCGTAATTATTGGAATGGAAAAGGAAATGTATTCCATTTAAAAAATTTTATTTTGTTTTTTTGCTAATTTCATTACAATTTTCCTTCATTGAAAATCCGGCATTAGTAGATAAAGTTTCAATTTTTAATTTAATTTTTTAAAACCGCGTTAGTATTTCTCTTTAAGCTAATTCAAACAAATATTAATTGGACTATTTTTAACTTTTAAGTAAAATGCAGTATTTTGAAAACCATTTAAAGTCAAATATTTAAAAAAAAGGCTAACTTACAATAAACGAAATGTTTGAAAGTAACGAGTCCTTTTTCTAAAGAAAAAACCTGGACACTTTTTCCAACTTACGTCGTGTCCTTATGTCTGTGTGTATCAGTTGCTTCACCTTGATCTCTCACTTTGCCCCCAACCCCAAATGATCAACACTTTCTTACCAATCTCTACCATAACTCTCTATATTTTAGATGGCAACGATAGCGACTGCGATGATCAAATGGACACCTCGTACATGGAACCCCAATTGATGTTGGATGAGTACGATGAGCCGTCGAATTCAAATTCGATCCCAATGCCACCAGCTCACCATCACAACAGAATACACCCAATGTTTTAGCCGCGCAAGCGCAACAACAACACGTAGAACGTCAACTATTACTCGCGCAACAAAAGAAACAACAATTGATCGAAGCTGCTGCCGCTACAGCTGCTGCCATGAAATTATCAGGCGAGGCAGGCGCTAGTGGCATGCCTAGTACCGTGACGCTGCTCAATTCAATGGTTAGCATACCGAAACTGACACCCATTGGCAAAGTGTCTAAGGTGAAAGTGAATAA